AAAAAGAGATAGCATAAGAAAGCATAAGGAATCATTAATGCATTAAAGGAAACACTTTGACTTTGATTGGACTATAACAACATTCAGCATCCTACTACCAGCTACATAAGGACACATACGTGCACACAAGATTACATCATTTATCAAGACATTCATGCATAGACTTGTAGGTGTTCAATCCAGTAACACTGAAAATACACACAATGTTTTTATTACAATTGGTGTGCGTGTGTGTGTGTGTTTTACAGGATGGGCGTCTGCGTGTCAATGACCAGCTGGTAGCAGTGAACGGAGAGTCCTTGCGGGGATGCTCCAATCATGTCGCCATGGAGACGCTCCGCCGCTCTATGTCACATGAGGGAAACTTAAGAGGGATGATCCAACTAGTAGTGCTAAGGGTTCTGAAGGTACACACACACAAACACACACACACACACACACACAAAAGGGCAACAAACAAAGCACACTGCCATCAGTCATCAGTCAGTCAAGAGAACACATCCCCAACTACACACAACTTTCCAAAACTCACTCAGTCTGAAATGTGAGAAAATGTTTGAAAAACATGTTTATTTTATGTGTTAATCTTCATTATAGACACAAGTGGCTGTACTTCTTCTGGTGTGTACGTGTGTAAATGTATGGATGAACAAAAAGAGTGTGTGTGGTGGGTTTTAATGGATACATAAAGCTGAAACACATACTACATTAAATGTATTCACAAATAAGGTAAATTGTCATTTTGTATTGTCAGAGAAAGCCAAAATCTATGTTAAGACACCTGCTGTGAGAAATAGAGCACATGCATGCCATGACAACAAACATACATGCTTTTATCTTCGCTCTGTAGTTCCTATCCACTCGTTTGACTCTTACTGACCTTTGACCACTGTCTATTGCCTCTGCCTCCCTCTACACTTACTGACTTTTTAGCCCTACCATCCATTCTTCACATACTTGACACTAGTCTCCTTGCTCTTACCAGCAGCAGAAAAAGAGCATTTAGACTTCAGCTATTCAGATTGTGTGTGTTTGTGTGTGTCTGTGTGTTTCTATGTGTGTGTATGTGAGATAGAGTGTTCTTCACTCAGCTGTATCTCTTTTCTTTATGAGTAAAAAAGAAAGATGCTTTTCATCTCGGGTGCTTTTCAGCTGATGCCTTTTTACACAGCTCTGTAGAATGTTGCTACAAACCTTTGTGAACACAAAGCTTGGTTTTTGGCTCGAGTGTGAATGGCCCTTTGCATGGCCTGCTGGTAGTGGGGGAAAACAGCTACATAAAGTATACATGTTGCATGTTGCACAAAGAAAAACACAAACATAAATTCCAGTATGTAGGTGTATGGGTAATTACAGTAGTCCCCTTTCATTTACATCAATGGGCTATGAGCACTGCCTCACAGTATAACGCAATACATTTCAGTAGCACCACAAAATAGAGCCTTCAAAATGATAATACATTTTAATCAACACCTCTCTAAAAACTGAACATTAAAACCCAGGATGATTTATTGCAAGGCTGTTGTATTAAACTGCATTAGTTTGAGGTAAGTGTGCCTAATAATACTGAGCGCATGGATGCATGTAGTGGTAGTGTGCTTGGGCTTGCAAGGCTCAGGGCATCCCTTGTCAATAGCTTGATGGTGAAAGCTGTTAGGAACATCAAAGAGTTGCATCCATGTTTTCCTCTTTGTCTTAAGAGTGAAAAAGAAAGGATGAAAAAGAAAGGCAGATAAAGGCAGATAGATAAGAGACTGTACCTTAAAAGCCTTTTTTTGGGCTTCAGTATTGATGCTTTTAACATTACACAAGTGGACCACTCTACGTTTTTTCCCCTTCTGATCTTTTTTTCCTTCTTTTTCTTGTCTATGTCCTTTGCTCTTTCTCTCACTCAGTTCTTCCTACTGTATTCATCACCAGCCAGCTCTCTCTAATCTCTCACTTTATCCAGCTGCTCTTTTCATTCAGTAACTGTCCAAACACCCTCTTTCTCCAAGCTAAATAATTATGGCCCTGCGCAGGTTCCATGGACATAATCTGAAGCTGTTCTTCTATATATCGACACTGTGGTTGTCACAGTATCTGAATTGCTTTCATACAAAATAAGTCTTGCTAATGCGCTACTTTTCCTGTCTGTTTTACGTGATTGTAGATAGTTAAGGTTTATAGTTTATTATAGGTTTTACTATTTTACTTTATCGTAATTGTAGTAAAAATGATTTAGTTGTTATGGTTCATCAGTTATTTTGATAATGCATCATTTCATAGGAAAAATATAACAAATATAATGAATGTAAGGCATCTTTACGGAGTAGTATATTGCAGAAGTGATCCAAACATGTCTGACTGTATTTAATACAATATTTTTATACCTCAATAACCTCTTTTTTTGATATCTGAAGGAGTATTCCTTTTTAGTGAGTAATCTCATTGCCCTATGACACAAGCTAAAGGGACGTTTACTGGGAGAGAGCCAGGAAAGGGAGGGGGCCCACAGGACCTCTCACACACTAAAGAGTGATGTGTCCTGGGTTGGGACTGGGGAGAAGCTGGGGCGAGGGACAGGAGCTGGTGCTAGGTGGGAGGTCAAGAGGAAGATGACAAGTAGGATTTATAATACACAAAGCACTTTTATGTCTTCTTTGTTGTTTGAGTGGAGGGTCTATACAGACAGGCAGATACACGGAGAAAACACACAAGTATACTGAACAACACAGCCAAAATGTCATACATATGTATACATGTTAATGAATTCGTACAGTTTTCTACACACACACACACACACACACAGAAGACAAATAAATGCAAATTATATTCCTAAAGTAATAATACACGCACAAAGACACACATCAACACTGGAATGAATGCTTTGTTTGACTATTACAGGGGCCCCAAGAGGGCCATCCCAGGAGGGGATAGGTGTCAGTGTGACTGTCATTGCCCCACACACACACAAAAAAACTGAGGCAGCGTCAAAGACGGTTACAACCCTACAGGCCATGGGAAACAGGATCCCCTCTTTCACCTTGATCCTCCACTGTATTTTGAGTGTCTCCCTCTTCCTCTCTTTATTCTGTCTCCTTGAAATCTGATTGTGTTTGAATAGACTACCACAAAGCCCTCACTCACTCCGCTGGTCATCGCTCAATTTAAATGCAATCTACATACCAGACACTTACATAAAACAAACATAGAAAAGTTCCATTGAAGTAGTTATATATGTCTTTTATATATGTATTTGTTTCAGACTTAATTTCAAGTGTTACATAATGTTACCCTTTCACAATTGTAGCTGCTCCATCTTAAAAAAAAAGGGAATTTAGTTAGTAATCCCTGACCGCTATCTTTCCATCCTGTCCACCTGTCTATGAAATGTGTTTTAATAATGTTTAATAGGATTGTTTCCTCTCTGTTTTAGGACCAACATGGGGTGTCACCCAATCGCTCATTTGACAGCTCCTCTGGCCTGTCAGGACTGGGGAGCCCAGTGAACGGGCAGACGGGAAACGGCCCCATTTATCCTCCCATGGTGAACAACAATCTCTATGCATTTAATGGTGGGTGGATGTTTTTCTTCAGAGGTTGGTCGGCATGCTAACAGATACAACATTTACATTCTATTTTATGATTTTTATTTATTTAGTTTGAGCACAATATCAAAACTTGTGGTGAGGAACATTTTCTTAAAGAAAAGAAACCTGAGGCCTCTTTTGTAAACATTTTAAATATGTTTAGATGTTTTTTTAAATAGCGACTGTAATGTCTCCATAGCTTCCAATTACCTACAATGTCAATTATTCAAATGTTTCCTCAAATTCTCGGCCACATTCATGGGGGTTGTTTACTTATTCTCCACAGTATATTCCTGAAGTAAAGCAGGAAACATTGCTAATTTGACACTGAAGAAAAGCATATTTATATTCCTTAAACTAAGGAATAAATTTTTTTTATAATTAAACCAAGACAACACATCAATACTGTTCTATTTTGTGATTAAAGTATAGTATTAATATTTCTATCAAGCAGAGTCTCCCTTGGTTTTTATTTATTTAAAACTCATAGTGCCCATAATGGTAATAATAATAAGTGGTAATTTACACTGAGCATTATTTTCTTATATTGAGAAAAACAGTCAATTTTACTGGCTTTTGGAGAAATGCTACCATCAAATGAAAATCAAATCACCATATACCATATACGTAAATTTAGACTGTTTGCTCTTGACGTATACCCAAATGCTTTTACCTCTACTTTCACTGCTGTTTCCATTCGAGGCAGTGGTAGAGATGACCTGAATTTACTGGGGGAACTCTGCCTGCTTTTATTAAATCGCTCCCCACTGATTGCTTCTTTCGGATACATTTTCACCCTGAACATACACACACTTGAAAGTGTAGAATAGCTACACATAACACCATACATAATACCATTTTCAAAAACTCAGATGGAGCACTCAGCCCCGACTTTTCCTCCTGAAACAGTGCTCCAGTTTATTCTGATTTACTTTTCTATTATTTTGTTTCAGTTGTATTTGTTGCCATTGAAGCAGCATCAAAGGTGGGCACATCATTTGCAATAAGTCCAATAAAGCACTGAATAAGTTTAATAATCCTGAAAAAATAAACAATGTCTCCAAGATAAAACAAACTAAAAACAAACAAACAAAACACATGCCATGCCATCTACACTGCAGCCTTAATTAGAGACTACTCTGCCCCTATTTTCCCTTTCAATTCTCACCCTAGCTCTCTCGCTTTTATTTTTCTCTCATGTTTCTCAAGGTTGTTCTGTTTGTTTGTTACTGCCTGGTTTGGCCTTCTATAAAGAGTTATTTTAGTTCTCTGCTTCGTATCACTCTTCCTCGCTAACTCTCTCTGCTCCCACCCCTATATTATCTGTATGTGCTTGTGTGTGTGATCTGTGTGTGTGTTCGTGAGCATCCTTGTCTGACTTTATACATGCTTGTGTTACCCTGTTAGCCTGTATCTGTGCCCATCTGTTAAAAAGTGTGTGTTTGTTTCTGGATGATATCTGTGCCTGTTTAGAAATGTGTTAATGGCTGCTCTCTGTGTGTGTGTGTGTGTGTGTGTGTGTGTGCGCACCTGCTGATTTGTCCTTTTGTTGTACATAATGCTGAGTCTGCTCCAATAATGAATGACTTGGTTGATC